TGTGGCGGGGGAGGGGGGAAGGGCGCATGGATGCTGAAGAACCGCAAACCGAGTGCCGTATATAGACTGAACCATTGGGGGGGAGGGGGCGAGGGGGCGGGGACCCGCTTGGGCGCAACCTTTTTATTATATTATATTATATTATAGTATAGTATATTATATTCTATTATAATATGATATGGTATAATATATTATATTATAATATTATATTATATTGTAGTATATTATATTATCTTATCTTATACTATTGTATGTATGTATGTATGTATGTATGTATGTGTGTGTATAATATATATATATATATTAACACATGTACCTGCATGCATGCATGTATGCATGTCCAGGCATGCATATGATGCGGGACATCATGTGCCCGGGTTTCCACCGGCGGATAGAGACAACCGACACTCGTGCACTGCCAGCACAAGCCGCCGAAAGCCAAGCCCAGTAATCAGAGGCAGGAGAATCCCCTCCTCGCGGTCGAACGTCGGGTCTCCCTCGCCGAGGCGAGTCTGAGATGCAGCCCCCACATCCTCAGCAGTAAGTGCAGGATGCAACTGATCATACCACTTCTGTAGGAAGCTGTGCATGCATCACTGGTTTTGGGAGGTTGTTCTGCTTGGTTCTCACTGCACAGGCCACACGTACCCCTTGGCTCATCCCTACAGCTTAAAGTCGTCCATAGAGCACAGTTGGGGCAAATGGGTCGTCCCGCCAGGTTTCAGTTCGGCATGAGATGTGCAGTTGTGAAGCCCTCCTGAGTAACCAGTTTTCCGATTTTCGGGACCTTGAGAAGTGTGGCCACTGGGATCGGTTTTAAGGCCCTTTTCCCTTCGGACTATGATACCCTGGGATACAAAGCAAAGCGTGCGCCGTCTGCTATTGCAATGACAATTATTATTATTACTACTTTTTGCCACTTTTGCCGTCAAAGCCTCGATGCCAGTGTTCGCCATCAAACGGCTGACCCCTGCCCGGAGCCTTGCCTGCACGCTGCTGGGTAGCTCTGGCAACCTCAACGCAGGAGGTGAATCATTCCCAGTATGCCGGAACTCCGACATCATTTCTGCCTATAGTTTCGTCCAGCAGAATCACAAGAGCACATGAGTGCGAGCTTCGTGGGGAGCCTCACAGCCGCCGACTCGATCTCCACTTCCCCAACATCCAGGTCGAACACGGAGAAAGCACACCTAGTCCAGACAGTCGCTGCATGCTGCCAAACAACCAACATGCAGCCCTGACAGCAGACGTATTGTTCACAGGTCCGAACAAAATAGCATACGTGCATGCATGCGGCATAGGTGTCTCTACAGTCTCTACAGTCACAGCCAGATAAGCCAACAACAAGCCAGTTGTTCATACTATGTAGGGAGCTAACGGCCAGATGGATATACATGTGGCAAGGACTCCGAGCACACAGACACACACACACACAAACACACACAATAGGCTAGGCGCATTTTCAGATGATAACCTACACGGACACAAACACGTGCAGACACAGAGAAAACATAAGAGCACTGTCACAGACCCTGCCGGTTTTCTGTGTCTTGGAGGCAAGGAAAGGTCGGATTGTGAGTCTGCTTTGCTCAGAAACAGCCTACCATGCTATACGACAGAGCTGTGCAGACTCAAAAGTGAGCACGACGTACTGGGCAGTCCCACCTACTTGCAACAGCGAAGCTTTTACTGGACTTCCCCCGACAGCATTGGCACCTCTTCCTCGCTGTCTCTCTGGACCAACTTTATCGGGCTCAGGGCTATCGCTGGCACAAGACCAAACCCACAAAAGCCCATGCATAGGGCTGCAGACTGTTGCTCCAGGTGCCAGCTACGCAGCACAGATGATCTCGAACCCGTAACAAGGCCGGCAAAGCCATAAGACTTGCGATTGACAAGCTGAACGGCTGAACTAAACAGCGACCAGGGGTCGGGGCACCCTCCCAAACGAAATGGGGTCTGATGACCTAGGCCAACCTCTGCCAAGAAGCGAGCCCCCACTGGTACTAGAGGGCAGTGCCGTGAGTGCTGCGGTTCCGAGATCCAGAACTTCCTTTCGAGGACTGCTTCTTTGCGGTAAACGGATCAGACAAACATGATGTCCCTGCCCACAAAAACCATGGACCTGCAAGGGTCCTTGGAAATTCGCGACCAAGGCTTGGTTTGATGAGAGCACACTTTTCAGAGTTGATGCAATGTTCCGGGATTGAAGTTGCAGGCGGTGGGTCGCACTCTGGGTCATTTCGGCATCGAGTCTTTGACAGAGCCTCCCCTCAGACCGACAGGAAGAACCCTGGTAAAACTCTGCAATCCAAACCCCAAATTAAACTGTGCAACAAGGCGAGGCAAGCCGCGCGATGCAGTCCCAGAACGTACGGCCCCTTCCTTGGTTGCCACCGGTTTGCGCGACTTCTGGGTCCGGATAACTCCAGCTTCACCACTGCCAACTCATGTGCAAACCCAGCGATGCTACCGCTCTGAAAGTGCAGCGTGTTTCATTACAAACACCGAAACACCTTTTCCGACTTCAAGTTACGGCAGACAAGACTTGCCAAGAGCGTTACAAGCGTCCGGCTGCTAAATCTTCCAGCAGAATACTCATGAGATGGGTGTAACGATGGTGCAACCTGAAAGAGAGGTCCTGTGGCAACGCCAAAAAATGGCAGGGAATGCGTTGACTCTCCAGCTCAAGAACAAACCTACAAGTCCACCGTCATGCGCGAGCTTCTGCTGCAGGTACTCCCGCTTCACAGGCGACACCGGCATGTATGAGTGCCTCGAAGGCTTGAAACGTTTGGCGTTGAGGTGAGCAACCGCAGGTGCGACGTAGATGTCTTAACAGGGGACACGTGCTGGAGCATTGCACTGAATTCCAGTTGCGGTTCGAATTAACAGTCTCGTGGCCCTAGCGACCAAGCCTTCAATGCAGCCTGGACCCTCAGAGCAGAACCAAGATCCAAGCATAGGCAGGTTTAGGCAGTGTAAGGAAGACTTCAACGGTCCGCATTGGAGTCCAGGAGCTGCCAGCGGAAGGGGAAGAGCAGCAGGGAGGTGATCGCCTCGCCACAGGCCGCCAGAGTGAAAGCAGAGGAGGAGCGCAGCACAACCTCCAGGTCAGGAAAGGCTCGTTCGTGACTGATGGCTTTGAGTACGTCCCACCCGCTACATCTGCCAAAAGCTTGAGGGCGGTCCCGACGGCGTGTTGTGAGGTCTGGCTTGGCAACAAAGCCGCACAGGCGAAGCTTGAAGTTCGACCGCCAACAGTCTTCGGAACAGGGCATGTGCCCCCTACGAACGATTCATGGATGATGTTAGCAGACATTGGTCACGGGTCCAGTGCAGGACGGGAAGGAAGTATGCCAGTATGTAGCATGCTGGCACAAAGCCGACCATGAGAACCATATGAACAGAGCACAGTCTAGAGCTGTTGACATGAACTCTCTGTATTTCGTGCTCCCTTCATGAATCACATCAACAAAGTTGACCGGTGACCACCTCACCATCCGAAAAGTGTAGACATCCCATGGCAGGGCAACTCAAACCCTCCGTTACCTTCCTGAAGCCCTCCGTTTACCAGCCCTTCCACAGATGCCGTAGACGCGACCTTCCGCTCCAGCAAAGCCAGTCGGAAGAGGAGCAAGAGCGAAGACAAGCTCAGTCGCTGTACCAGGTAGCCCAAAGGCACGTGGGGCACAGGCAGGCACTCAATCCTTAGAAAAGGCTCTTGCAGAAAATATTCATCCAGCTGAGGTATCTAGGCCCGCTGACTGACGAGCATATAAAATCCCGCGTGAACGCATTATAACGCATTAGGCATTCAGATGTGCAGTTAGTTGTTCGACTCGGGAAGTGCTGAACAGGCCAGCATAGCTGATTAGCCACGTGAGCCTCTACATGGATCCTATTCCAAGTCCAGAAACTCAACTACGACGAAGCCTGAAGTCCCCCATAAGACCCAGCCAGGTGGCTGCGGCATAGCGCCAATCGCCAGGGCCGAGACCCCGTGACGGGCACAAAGATGTAGCGAACAGGTCGGGGGTGGCAGGGGCACCTCACCTGAGATCAAGGACGGTGTGTCGACCGCTTTGCCATGGGCTCCTGCGTTCTTCTAGTAGACTGTAGCGGCAGCGACTTCAGGAGCATTGGGCATCGGACACGGGCGTTTCAGAACCATGGTGCACCCGCAGTGAAAAGCAGCTGTTGAGATCAAGCTCCCACAACATCTCCAACACCCGCACATGCAGCATTGTTGAAGCCTGGCCACCGAGACCGCACAGAACACAACAATTGAAACTCGCCCTGCATCAGGAAAGTCGCTGAGAAGCCACACCCACAATTTGGCGAGGTAGTCCGGGTCGTGCAAATTGGTTTCAGGCTGAATGGCAGCAGCCATCAATCTGGCCAAGCTCTTCACGAACATCGTGCTTATCGCCTCGGCAAAGGCTTTCAGTTGACCAGGTTTTTGTGTGGATCATACGCTTGATTTTGTCCCTGGCTGTCCGGGTAATCTCGCAAGAATACGGATAGTAGCTAGCAGTGCACAAAAGCATCGGCCCATCGTAAGTGGTCTTCGTTGCATGCCCCCACCTCCGGATGCTCTGACCAGAAGCAGGTGCAAACCTGCAGGGTGCTGCCAACTCCCATCACAGACAGCATCAAGAGCTATGCATCCAGCTGAACTGTTGCCCTTTTTGGCCACATGTTACGTCGCCCCTGGACTGAACTAAGCTGTTGTTGTTCGGCACTAAGCATGCCGGAGTCTGTGGGGCTTCGACAGGCGATTGTGTGCTGCTGAAACCGAATCACTTGTTGTGTCATCTCATTCCATTTCACTGCTCAGAGGACAGAGTTCAGTTTCAGCTAACCCGTTGCGTCTGGTAAGCAATCACCACGGTTTCTGCCCCCACTTTTGCAAACACAGGCCTCCGAACAAATCTGCTACTAGCACATGGGCTGATCACCAAAGATCTTCGTGGCCTCTTCCTCGGGGTCTTGGCCCAGGCAAAAGCGAAGGGCGGACACCTCAGGGGAGTGCTGCTCGTGAAGTTGCGAACTTGCATCTTGCACTACACGGTCCGGTTTGTTGCACCTGAAGTCACTTCAAGGACAGAGCAAGGCAAAGGTCAAGTAAGACTGACGAAAAACAGGCAAACGCCTACGAGACAACCTTAGAGGCTTTGCGGTTGCGAGGCACGTAGAATCGCACGCTGAACTCAGCCACCACAGTACAGAAGCATCGGGTGGTGCCGCACAGCAATTTCCAGGCGCTGCCGCTCCTCCGGTGAAGTAGAACCTTCATGGAAGTTGTGAACTCGAGCAGCACCCACACTCCAGGCAATCGTTGTCCAAACGACTTCTTTGTATTCTTTGTGCTTCGTTTTGAGTACGGTGCAGTAGTTGCTTTTTGCTTCTTTGCTTCAGAGACTGCAACTCCGGTATGACATTAAAGCTTTCCAGCTCTGCCGTACACTGTGCAGGCAGCTCGACACTGGATAGAGCCACAAGCGGCTCACCCCTTACTTCTGCTGAAATCTGTCCTGTCCATGACAGAAACCTACCTACACGTCGGATCACGACCACATCTGACGGTTAGGCATTTAAGAAATAATGACCCTGTCTTTGCGGGCCTTGGGCAACGTCTGCAGCAACTGCTGTTCATCCTCGGGCAAATCCTGAACTGCTGCTTCAGCCGATAACGGTCTTCGGGAAACTCGAGCCATCCTTCTGTTTTGCCGTCTATCTCTGGGCAATGTTCCGGGATGCTCATCGCAGTGACAGGTAGATCCATTGGTTCAACACTTCTCGCACTCAGCAAGAAGCGGGCTGGTCAAGTTTATAAACTCTGGCAAAGTGAGGCAACAACAAACATGGCAGAGAGCAACCTCTGGAGGGACAGGACCCTGAAACCTGAAGCCCACAAACCCAGAACACTCTGCAATACGTGTACTTCCCACTGCCGCAGCATGCTGGTAGGTGTATGTTGTGCGACCTTAAACCACTGCAAAACCAAAGGTCTTTCAAAAAAGTGCTGATGTCGTCAACACGAGGAATGTCCTCTTTAAAGCAAGTCTTGATCACCCAAGGCCGCGACGTTCAATATTCACGGGCATGCCAGCTAACGAATTTGAAGAGATTGCCACTAGTTCGGGGCAGCAACCCCAAGGACCCCTGCGATGAAGCCACGCGCCGCTCCAGAAACCACTCGCAGTTTCCGATTGGGCATTTTGGGTTCACCGGAGGGCAGAACAATTGAACCAGCATGGGATCCTTTCAAGACTGGCGCCTCCTTCGTCGGCAGTGCTGCCAGCGTTTGGACGGAAGGCTCCTGTCGCTTTCGCAGAGGTCTGAAGATGTCTGAAGCCTCTGGAAAGGGACCTTGCATGTCGCATCATCGTGATTTGTCATCGCAAGATCTAACCCTTGCTGCACGGATCACTGGTGAGTATTCGCTTGGGCTCTCAGGGAATGGGGCTGATGGCGGTACAGAACTTCCCGCCAAACTCCTGCCAAGCAAAGTTCAGGCCTGGCTGTCGTACTCTGCGGGAGGTCTACACAAACTCGTAACTTGCGGAATATTTGCAGAACTCACATAGCTAACCATTCTTGCTTCCCGGCATTTGTCAAGAATTCCGGGAAATCATATTCTCCGGCACTCCTCAGCACGACACTCCTAACATCCACGATCCTAAAAACCCACTCAACACAAAAGCGACCCCCGAAAGCCTCCAGGCCGCAGCCAGAAGCTGGGCCGAGAAGCGCCACTCCGCGGAGCATCGCTCAACTCAGAAGCCTATACTACTTGTAACATCTAGCTATATAGATATATATATATATCTATATATAATATATATATATACACATACTTGCAAGTTGCAAGCTTCTTTAGTAGGATGAAAGTAGGGTTACCAAGCTTGGGTTTAATGTAGGGGCTTGCAGTGAGATGCAGGCGAGGCTTCCAGCAGCGAGGGCTGCTGGGCTTTGGGCGTGGAGTGTAACTAGAAGTTGTTGTTGCTGTTGCCGGAGTGAGTCTATGATTGTCTTTGTGCTGCAATTATTGTTGTGATCTGTCTTCTTGCTATTGCCTTGATCAGTGTGCTTCTTGTTCTGAGCGTCTGAGCATTCTCACTTACTGCTCTTGCTATCCCTGGACGGCTTGACGGCTTTTCCCGTGGCTTTGAGGGAACCGGAGCTCTGTAGCTCTCCCTGTCCCTGCAACCCCGAGCTCATGTCAATGTCCGGGCAGCAAGGCCGATGAAGACAGCAGTTACATGCGGATACCAAGCTTCAGAATCACATTAAAATGCGCATGCCGCGGTCTTCAAGGAGACGTTAAAAAGATGGTGAACAGCCCACAGCATCGCGCTTCTTTTGTCTCCGCGGTTCACCGCAGAGAAAAACCACTCCCAGAGAGGATCTGGCGTTGCTTGGCTGTACAGCGCCTCGCCGACAAGATGAACAGTAGGAAGTGTGGCAACATCGAGTGCTGCCTGGCCCTGTTGAATCCTTAAAGGCTTTCATCTTCCACAGAGCCAGCAGGAGCTGCTTTTCGGGGCTACCGTTTCCTCCACCACCGCGTCGGGCTTTCCCTGCCCAGTTGGCTGTTTCTCCACTGGCTTGGCGGCCGCCCAGCCGCGGGCGATCTCTGCGTTTCGGTCAGGGGCCCTCTCCCTGAGCTCCTGCGGGGTGTAGTAGCCATCGTAGGAAGGATTCTCGTGGCGGAGAGGGTCAGCTTCCGTGCCAGCACAGTAGACCAAGCTCCTCGTCAGGGCCCTGGGCTCTGGCTCAAGAGAGAACTGAGGCGTCTGATTCGCGAGGATGCCCATGACAAGAATCCGCTTCGGCTTGTCCTGAAAGTAGAGGCCGTAGTGCGAGGCCGCGGGATTGTGAGACGGTCTCTGGTAGTCCTCCAGGTAGTTCTCGAACATCACCACCCGACCGCGCTGGGCCGCAATGGTACTCACCTCCTCTGGGGCATTAGGAAAGCAGATTCCTCCCACAGAGTTGAAGTAGACCACGACTGTCACGGTAGGCACCACCTTCCGGGGGTTCCGGAGCTCTGAGCTTTGGAGGCCCAAATCCAGGAAACTCCAGTTTCGGCCATCCAGGTCATCAAGGTTTATGTGGTCCACATGAGGAGACTGCTCAGCACCACAAATGTCTGAGACCATGAACTTGTCGAAGGGCTCCGCTAAGCTTAAACCCCAGCCGTGTGCGATCATCTCGAAGAAAGGCCTTGCAGTTTCATCCATGTCGAACTCGATACTGCGTGATGTGAGGGGCCTACCATGATACTCCTCCTTCGTGGTAGTGCTCCGGCTATCTGTGGCAAAAGCCTGGTCCACACGATCTAGCAACGACTGCGGAACAGCCTCATCCATCACCCACACGTGGGGAAGAACCTGAGACACCTTCATCACCATGGCTAAAACCTAACCGATCACTGGCAGTTGCAGGAAATCGCTCTACTTCTGGCGGGTCAGCCAGGAGGCTTTAGCCAAATAGGGCGACGGGCTCTCATCCGAGTCGTCTGCCGCAGTGCTCGGCTGTAAAAATGCTCAAGTCTGTTCCCGAAGCTTTTCGGATCCAAGCTTTAGAGAGCTCGTGACTTCGGACCTGGTCGTATGCAACAATGCAATCAACAAGCACGAGCCCGGCGGGGTGTAATTAGGTAGCATGATACCCTAGACCATTACAAAGATTCGGAGGTGAAAGGCCACGTCCTTCCATGCGTTCAGCGCTGCAGCCCAGGAGTGCATGCTGTCCTCAAGCTTGGCGCCCCTACACTCGTCCTACATGTCCACAGCACCAAACTCGTCTTGTTTCCGAGGTTCCCGTGGCTCCGTCTGTGCTGATCCATGTCTCAGGACAGACAAAGGGACTGAACAAACCCTACCAAAACATGGCCAGCTACAATTTATAGAATTTAAATAGACAGACTGCTGACTCGCTCTGTTTGGGGATGGCTGGACAATGGCAGCTTCCGGATCTTCGATGTTTACACAGAAGACAGATGTCTAGTAAAACGGGGGGCTCACGGTTGTAATATTTGTAATGGCCCATGCATGATGCCCTGCCCAGGAAATGGACACCTCAGATCTGAAGACTTTTTAGTCAAGTCTCTCTTGGCCCCTCCTCGCCAGGAACAGCACCTCGGGCAAACGGCAGCCAAACCCTTCCCAAATCCTACGGGGCGGGGGCGTGGCCTCAGAGTCAACTAGAAGAACTGCACTTGGGAGAGTAGCGAGCACATGGTCCGGGGAATCCGATGTGAAGCCGACAGGTGGTCGGAAAGAGGACACGCGGCACGATTGGTACTTTAGTGTAGTGGATTGAGGCAGCACTGAGACACTGTGGTCAGGTGAAGTCCACCTAGACCGGAATGAAGCTCACAAACTGCATGTGCGCTTGCCTGCTTGGGTGCTCCCGCGTTTCCTATTCTTATCAGCACACAAACAGCATCTGCAAACACCACATTCGACACGCAGCGGCTTGACCTTTTAGCCTCTATGCATTCTATATACTATGTATTCTGGACATCTTTGAGCGGCGGTCGGCCTATGGACCATGACAAGTCATGCCTGGCCATGAGAAATACTGCAGCAAAGAAAATGGAATGATCTGGCGAACGAAGTCCGGAGCACCCAGCGCATCGTCGTAGAGTCCTCCATGGATGAATAAGGCATCGCCGACAATCACGGCGAGCTGCCTCAGAACTGACTTATGAGAACCCATTGCAGTCTTTTTTTGCAGATTCGCCAACGAACTCTCCGAAGTTTACGCCAACTTTTCCACGGCTCGACAGGCACAAGTAGAACGGTAAGTATGCACGAAGACGGCAGCTGCACAGAGCTGGAGCTAAACGCACGACTGCGTGGCATCCCTTTCTTTTTATCTTTCTTCTATCCGAGAAGCCCCACCCGCAGGAGGTCCAGCATCCAGGGATCCGCACCGTTGGGGTCCACCGCGTCTCCTAGGCCAATCAGTCTTTTTGGCACTCACGCTCGACGAGGTCAGGCGAGGTACGCGGCGACAACAAACTAAAATCCAGGCTCCTTACGAGCCCCACCTGACATCATCAACAGCAGTACTGTACATGACACTGTAACGCATGCTAATGCATGCTACTCCTGCTTCCGACGCATACTCGCTCAAGCAGGCACCGGTTCAAGCGGGTCTTCTCAACTAGCAATCACTCTTTGACATGGTGGCCTGGATGAAGATTGGGAGCTGCGTCTTCACAGCAACGGATTGGCTGACTGTTGCAGTAGATCGCATCGGTTCAAGTCGAATTCGTTTCGAGGTTGCTCAGAGCCCACATTGAAAGTAAATCTGCTAGAATTACACGGTTGTGTGCTCCATGTGCTCCCACCGATAATTGGCGTTGTGCCTTTCTACGCAAACGCCTCTGCTATATTGTGTCTAGAGAGCAGTATATTTCGGCCTGCCGAAAACAAAAACCGAGACCATCATAAAATGACGACTCCATTCGCGAGAGGCATTGAGACGGACTGGCTTAACATATGCTGGACGATTCCTGCAATAGCTGTGATACCACCTCGGTAGGTACGGTGCGTGGCTGGCTCTTGCAGTCGTCGACCACATAGCTACCTCAGGCTACCTCCATATGAAAGCTTGTTCGGCCGTGCGTCGATAGCTCTGAACCACCTGAGCTGACATCAGGCGAACAAACCGAAGGGGACCCCGTTGTGAACAAAAGAGATGGTGGCCCGACTGCAAAGCCTGATTTGCCTGGCTCAAGACCTCCATCACACCTGAAACCCTGTGCCTGAATCACTGCACATGACTGTCGGGTTTACGAAAGTACAGCTTTCGCAGCGGAATTGCCTTTGTAACAAGCTCAGGGGTTTTACCTTCCGAAGTGATCAGATGTGGTACGTCTGCCGTGCTGGTACCAACAATTCAACAAGAGTAGGCGTGGGTTGTAGCATGTGCACGCCTGTTCAAGCTTCCAGGACTGCCGAAAAAGCAAAGAGAGGCCTGTTGGAATGCCAGCCGATGCACTATCCCTTACGCTGGCTAGGCTGGGCATGTCCTGAGACAACAAGACAAGCGCTAGTGTCTCTGACGACACACTGTAAACCTGCGGCTTGTCAGGTGCAGCTATGTGCAGCTGTGCGGCAGCCTCATCGGTGGCAGATCTGCCAAGAAGGGCGAGCTCGTGCCTTCGGCGAAACATTGGGTTTTGGCTCCGGGGTGGGGTTTAGGGGTTTAGGCTCTCACAACTCGGACATGCCAGGCGAGGTTCGTGGGTACCAGTCGGCGAGGGGTTTAGGGGTTAGGGTTGATAGGGTCTTGTGTGTGGCCCTTGGCGATGCGGGGACTGCAAATCCATACGCTCACATGGCAATAGGTAGTATAGAGCATGCTCGCCTGCTCGTCTATAGGCACATCCACAGTTGCGAAACCCATGCTATTGTTCATTCTCTCTTTTCGTGTGTCGCTTGAGGTTTACTTCCTGATAGACCATCGACCGCCGTAGTCCCATGAACATATACAAGAACAAAGCTCCAGAAAATGCACAACGTTTCGCACCCCGGTCTCCATGGCATTGCTCACACGATCTTTCTGCACCTGTCCGACATCTGCGGCCAACCGCCCCGAACTTCCTCGCCTTCTGGTCTTGAAGGTCGTTGTCTGACCTTTCTGGCCAAGGGTTCTGGGCTGACTTGAATTCATCTAGGCTGGGCGACGGCCTCTTCCCACTCACAAAAGATGTATACACCAGACAGGTCGAACCGACAGATCCTCTGGAGTGCAAACAGGTCCCCTGGCGCCTTTTAGACTTTAGATGCTTCAGGTCTAGCCATGACTACTTCGGCTGAGGGCCGGACATCCCATGTTGCAGTCCAGCACCCAGCGAACTGTGCTAACATGACCCCGCTGCAAGTTATTCCTGGGCTGGTGTTGATGCGGGAAAGCACGAGAGCTGCTCAGATGGTTGCGTTGCAGCATTCATGAACACTGACGGTTCTTCCTACCGTGGCTAGCCTAAGGCATGCAGTCCTCGAAGCGGTTGCCACTGACGGTCTCTCTCGGCACGCAAGTCTGTGGCGCAATCCGAACTTGTAATTGTAACACTCGGAGGCGAGTATGATGCCATCTTCGTTCACAGCTCAGCCTCACGTCATTTTCCAGACTCTAGCGGGTCGAGCATCACCAGCATCTGCATCCCACCCGAGCCACCCTTCTGAAACCCAGCACGCACCAATTATGCGAACGAGCTCCATGTGCGCAGCAAGTGTGAGCATCTGTTGCATCGGAGCCTTCCACTCCCAGATCAAATATAGTTAGCAACCTGCACCTCCTGACTACCCGGCCCTCTTGCATGCTCTCCCGTCTGGAAGATCCAAGGGTAGGATTGAGAGTTTCGGGCACGTATCAGACAGGCTTCTTGCGCAGGTAGTCATCGTAATCCGGGAAAGGCGCCGGCTTCGGAATCCAGTAGGCCTTAAGGCAGTTAGCAACACGCAGGTCTGAGTTGCTCGTGCTACAGTTTGTCGTGAATGCATGTGCTATCAGCACCCTTGAAGGGACGTTCGGTGAAGGAGTTTGCAGCGGCCGATGCAGGCAAGATCCGGCCAAGCGAGTCTGGCGCTACTTTGCAGCTTCGCTTGAATGCCAGGTCTGTCCCACCGCCCTGGCTCCATCCCCCAGGGTCCAAATTGCTGATGCTTGTTCCCGCTCATGATCCTCAATGCTCAAAAATGCAACGAGCAAACTGCTGCCCAGGTGCGCCACCCTTCTCCTCGAAGCTCGCACCGTCCTCACCGGCTGCCAGCTCGGCGTAGAAGCGAAGTTTGCCTAATGCACGGTGGAAGTGATGAGGTTCCTGTTCAGCAACTGAATATGTCATGTGCCAGATGTGGCTTGCAATAGCTGGTCTTTTATTCGCATGCAGTTCCAACGGGCTCATAAGCACCGCTTTTGGGGGAATGTCAAAGGCAAGCGGTAACTACAGCAGAGTTCGCCAGAAGGCCTTCGTCTTGTAAAGGTAAGGGCGCCTTTTCTGTCTACAAGTCCGATCCAGTCTTTTCTTGGAGACCCTTTCAAACAAAGGTTACAAGGGCACTA